GCGAGGCACACGGTGCCCCCTTTTGATGCCAGAGGGGTCACGCGTGGGGGGGGGGGGGTCACAGGGCCACGTCAAAACGAACACAGCTAAGAAGATGAGGGTTCGACACAAAAAAAAAACAGATCGCGCGCGAGTACACGCGGCGAGAGCCAGGTGGGATCGAGTGAAGGCCGCAAGTGGGCGGCGAGGCACTGCTGTCGACAGACGTCCCTGGTTGCCGTCCCCCCCCGGGCAGGCCCCTCCCTTCCCAAGAGAGAGAACAAAGCTCCCTCCCGCACGTCCCTACTGACCTACCATAACGCGTTAACGCGAGCAGGTTACTCGCTGACAAACCCACAGACCCTGCCTAAGGTCAAACACCACCACCACTGATCGCAGCAGCAGCAGAAGCAGCAGCAGCAGCAGCACAAGCAGCAGCAGCAACAGCAGGAAGAGCGCCAAAACAGTGCCGCGCCTCCCAACCCACCACCAAAAACAAACCAACGCAGCAAGACTCACGGGAAGATGGTGTCGATGACTCTGAGTCCGGTAGTGAGCGCGGTGTTGCCGGGGAGCTTCTCCAGCACGGGGCGGGGCTTACGCACGGGCCAGAAGTGCGACAGCTTGAGCTCGCTCGTCTTGCCGGTGGTCTCGTTCTGAACCTCCAGCACCGTGTCGCTAACCTTGAAGCTGTCGTTCCCGTCACCGCCGGACCCGTAAACCTAGCGGGCACGTTGTTGGGGCGAGGGGGAGCAAAACACCGAGAGGCACGGGGAACGCGTACCATCGAGCGCGTGCAATCAAAATACAAGGATGGTGCACAAGGTGGACAAATCCCATGTGCGAACACTTGTTTTGAGGGCGCGTGAGTGACGGGAGTGTCAAACATGGGCGACACGAAAAAAAAAGAGGACATCAGCACATGACAAAAAACGCACGCTCAGATTCTAGCCGGAGGCAGGCCTAATCTCTCTCACACGCACCCTCCGGATTCCGCTGCCATAGCTGCATCACCGTTTGTTTTCTCGGAGGACAACAAACGAGGAGCGCATTTCGGTTTCGGTTAGATCATCAACAAGCCTGTAGATTTCGTCAGCCGACTATAATAATAGCGTGGCGTAAACGGTCATGAGAGAACCTCATACTTCATACAAAACACATGCGCTCGGATGCCCTCTAACGGTACTCTTCGCACCCCCGGCTCCGACTTGAAGGCTTTCGGCTGTTACCTTGACGACGTTCCCGTAGATGTTGGGGGGGCACATGATCTTGTGCTCCGTGATGAGCTCGTTCTCGTATACGGTACCGAAGATGTCGCCGCCAGTGATTGGCTGGTGTTGTCGTTGGTAGTTCGTCGGAGAAAATGGACGACACGGGGCGCCATGAGTGGGTGGGTAATTTCAACTCTCGAACCGCGCGCGAATGAGAGCCCACGTGGTGCGGGATAACCGCTGAGGTCGTTCCGCACACTTGCATTGCTGACAACAGCACTTGCCGCTAGGAAATTAAATATATCCCATGTTATCCACGAAACCATCCCCGCAGTTGCGAGCGTCGACAAAGCGCAAGCAATGGTGACCAACACCCGGCGCCTGGAACAAGTGTTACAACCAAAACATCCACTCGCGACCCCCAACAACCCACGCGACACAACGACCACCCCGGTGCGCACGCGCGTTTGTCGCAGTCAACACGCAGTGAAGAAAATCCAACACACAGCAGCGGAGGCCCGTTCATTCCTTGGCGGGGGCACACACACAGCCAAGACGGCAATAGTACCAGCCTTCCTCACCTGGCCCTCCTTGAAGTTGCACGGCTTGAACTCCCAGTCCTTGTCCTGGTCGAGGCAGGGCACGTCCACACCCCTGGGGACGAACACCGACCCCTCGCGGCCCGCGATGTCCTCCAGCGGACGCTGAGAAAACCACAAACGCCAGCCAGGAGGGGAAGAAAGTGCGGACCGCCCGAGAAAAAAAAACAAAAACGTACAGACCGCAACACACACAATGTTCAAAAATAACAACACCCGTTCGTGTGCACGTGTGGTGGTACTGACACTGTAGACTAGATCGCAGCCAAACCGAAGAAGAATCGAACGCGCGCCTCACGACACAGCAGAGAGCTCAGCATGGGAAGGGGGTAGAAAGGCTCGAGAGGCGCTCGACGCATTGCCCGTCCCGTCCGTCTCAGCCTATGTACAAACACATCCAGGAGTACCACCCTCCATCTCAGATGTCACCATCGGTACAACCGGGCCCTAGCTCGACGGAAAACAGGATAGAAAGCGCCACAAACTTTCCGTGTTTCTACATAACGATGTTGACGTCGCGAGAAGGAAAAATCCCCAACACAACACACGGGATTTCGCCGAGCCATGTTCTGATGATCTGTACTAGCTCGCTCGCGCGTACCTGGATTCCGTCGAAGATGGTGCCCATGATACCGGGGCCGAGCTCGACGGACAACGGCTGCCGGCGCCGCAGGACGGGGTCGCCAACGGTAAGCCCCGAGGTGTCCTCGTACACCTTGAACGAAAAGGAGAAAAGGGGAAAAGAAAGGAAAAGGAAGCCAAGCTCAGAAAGCCACAACAATACAGGTGTGACGCGCTATCATGGCCACCGTTTAAATGTTCCTAAGGGCCGCAAGGGCTGTGGGAGGTAACCTAGGTCGAATCTCTGTCAAAAAAAAAAGAATAAGAAGGGGTATTTATCCTCCGTTATCCACGCGACCACTCCGAGACTCCACGGTTGCCACTCATGTCAACTGTCAACTGCACGCCGCAGGCTACTGCAGAAGACTAGCGGTGACAGTTTTCGGCGCACGCGAGCCATCTTCTCGGGCCTCTCCGCAGGACCAAACTTGGTTGCACTACACCAGACGGTGTCGATGACCAACCCCAGAAACCCTTCTCGCCCCTAATCCCTGTTTGCCGCATGGTGCACTCACGTATTCAAGCATAAGACAGCCGCTCTCAAGCCAACAACACCGAGCTAGGACAAGAGAAATGGGATGGGGGGGGGGCAGGAACTAACCCGCCCCCACTCCTCGATGGCTGTAGGATTGCCGCGTGGTGTCACTCAAGAACGCCTCATACTAGCCAACAACGATAACAAGCGGCGCTCTTCAAGTTAGTACTGGCGTGTTGTGCCCAGATCTGAGTGCCGCTCTGCGTTAACAGGCCACGCCATGTAGTGCAGGTATTGCCAACTCGACGCCTTTTCGTAGGCGAAGAAGACACCATACAACTCGCCATCCAGAGCGACAACTCTGGTCAATGTTCCCCTGGAGTCACTGAACGGCAAAGCACCAACCCAAGGAACTCCCAAAGGCGTTGCCGAAACTCCTGACAGGATGTAGTGGGGTACCCACAGATCAGGACGGGCTCTTTTCACGAAAAGCTGGTCAAAACAAGCCATGTTGTAAAAAACGCCTGTTCTCTGCATAGCCATTGCCCACATGAGCGGATCTACTTTTGGTTCCCGCAAAAAGTGTTGCCAAGGTTTAGGTTGTACACCTGCTCGTCGGCTACAGCAGTAGGCCCGCCGCGTGAAGCGGAACTGCTGCTGTGACAAGATCCGGCATCCCTAACACTTTCACTTCCATGGGGTACCGTAAGGTTGCGAGTCATCGCACTGCTGTCCGGAGTCATCGCACCCCGTGCGATAACAAACAAATTGACTAAATGATGTAATTCGATTTCCGCACAGGGTCCGGAGTCACCGCACAAGCCACTTTGACCCCTGCAACAATGCCAGTGCTGGCATGTTAGCTCTCTGCTGTAGGGGTACGTCATCGTCGCACACCACACACACACACACGTGTGGAGGTATGAGGGAAACGAAAAACATTGGTATTTCCGTTGGATCGGTAAACTTGAACATTGTCCGTTCAGCCAAAACACGAGAAAGATAAGAAAAACCGCAGCCATGAGCCAAAACGACTAAAATCAGTACTACCGGTACGTGAAACCTCCGACATGATTGCCAAGCGTTTGTGTGTCGCGCGTGGGCACAACTCGACGGCGGGAAATTGTGAAATATGTGTTCCGCCTGCGGGGTTTCGTATTTCGCCGCGTTTTATTTCGCCGCATGATGTGTGTGCCTTCAAATGAGCATCGACCTCGATAGCCGGCTATGTGTGTGTCTTTCATACTAGCATCCACCGCGCTAAGCGGCCGACCAATGAAAACACGTTAGTCTCAATGCGGTTGAAACACAAAACATTTCCAAATGCCAATAACTGGGGCCCCATGAGGGGGCGGCATGGGGGAGGCTAAGCTATTCTCCAGATTTGTGTGTGTGTGCTTTCTCAAACCTAGCATCCACCAGGCAAACTGCTGTGGTGGACTCATGTGCATTTGTGCGTACCTTGGCATGTGGAGCCTACAACCGCAGCACAACTGAGGTATCCGTGCGTCTGCAAAGATTTTTCGAGTACCGCACATACCGGAGTTATCGCACAGGGGTGTGCGTTATATACCAAAGCCGACTGATTTGATTCGATGTCCGCACAGGGTCCGGAGTCATCGCACGGTCCGGAGTCATGGCACCCCGTGCGGAAATTAAAAGGGGAAAACGTTTGGAAACCGACCGCACGGGGGTGCGACGACTCGCAACCATACGGTATGTATTCTACAGACCTGAATCGAGGCAGTGTCGCCCTCGAGCCTGATGATCTCCCCCACCAGCTTCTGGTGCCCCACCCTCACGAGCTCGTACATGGCAGCCCCTGACATGCTCTCGGCGATAACCACTGCAAACAGCCGTAAATGTAGGTAAATTGAATATTGAGTCATCACCATTTACAGCAGAACAGAGGCAAGTGGCAATGGCAGCGTAAGGGACGTGCGTTGGCCGAAAGAGGGTGGACGCAATACTAGACGTATCTCGGTGCGCTGGAGGGTTCTGAGACAGACCAAGGGCGCATACGGCCAAGCACTGTGTAGTCAGCAGCAGCAGTAGCAGCAGCAGCAGCAGCAGCAGCAGCAGCAGGAGACTCTGTGCCAATGCATGGAAAAAGAAGAAGCAAGCCTGTTCCTGCACAAGCATCGCTGGCAAAAGAACATGGACGTCAAGTTGGACAGCATTACTGTCCACAACAGCATGCCCATGTTCATAGGTCGAAGAGGAAATGATAGCAGCCCGTGCATTTCGCATAGATAGAGAGGCCCGAGTCACGCGGTGTCGGTTCTGCTGCAGGGTAGTACTAAAAGCGGGGAAGTAAATAGCCGACTACTGCTGAAGCATCACACACAAGGGCCAAGTACGAGTCACGTGTGTTTCGATTTTCCGCAGAATCTCTTCTTTCCGCGCACAACAAAAGGAATCACTCAAAACAGCCTGTTGGGGACACAGCACGCACAACCTTTCCTACGCAAAGTGATTGCATCATAGCTGAGCCCTTCTCTTCACAATGAAGAGCGCCCACGGACCCAAGTGAGGACTTCTCTCCCCTTGTTGGGCGGAAGGCCTGCAATACCTGGCACCAACACACAGCTACACTTGCTGCTGCTATGCTGCCGCAAACTCACGAGGTCCAGAAACACGCAGCACATAGCCGAAGTCCGACTCCACGAGCCCATCATCGATCACCAGGCCAGCCATTGCGATTCCTCTATTTCCTGCTCTAGGCAGAGATGGTGGGTCACGTGGGGCTGTCTGCTACCCTGCCGTTGTGGTACCGTGATCGCCTGCCTGATCTGCTCGGGTTCCGTTCCGGGGGCACTTCGGACTGCAGACCCCTACACCCCTTCTCCGCCGAATAGGGTGCACGGGGGGGGGGGGGGGGTCATTGGCCTCCGCTCGTGTTTTTCCACATCTGGCGTCTGGCACTGGCGCTCAGTTGTGCACAGCCGAGTCAATATATCAGCAGCGTTGTGGCACTTATTTTATGCACAGTGTGGTTCATAGGTGGCGCTGCAGCATGGGTCGATGAGCCTGACACCAGACGACAGCTTTCGGGGGCTGATCACATGTCGACGTGCCCCGGTCGAGAAATATTCGGCTTGGAAACCCGAGCTACTGCTGTAGTCGACTCCACGAGGCCCCCTATCAGCATCTCCACACTGTCTCTCCTGCCCACACTGCACAGTAATTGACGACTGTCTCTGCCGCCGCTGCTTGGTCAATCATTAGCCTTGACCCATGACTTCTACAGATGCGGGAGAGAAGGACGCAACGCCAGTGGTGGAAATCAAGCGTCTGGACCCGAGCGTCGTCAACAGGACGCGCCAGTATCCAGGTCTGCCCAGAGGAACAAATGTTCTTGTCACCGCAGGAGGCGCCGTCTCCGCAGCAACCGTATCCCTGCTCAAGTCTGCCGGGTGCACTGTGACCGTCCTAGGCGTCGCGCGTGCCGCCTCTGCCCCACCAAACTGCACCCTTGTCAAGGGAAGCGCGTTGAGTAGAGAGTCCTGTGCTAGCGCGGTCGCTGGTCAGGACGTGGTGGTGCATGCCGGCAGGCCTTCTAGCCCAGGAGCGGTGGCGGTGGCGGAAGCGACGAAGAACCTGCTGCAGGCCGCGGCTGCGGCAAGCGTTAAGGGCTTCGTCTACGCGAGCTCCGCCAGGTGATATTGGGGTGGTGGTATTTTGAGTTGCTGCTGCCTTTGTAGGTCCTTAGAGTTGAAACTGCGTGTGGTCACGGTACAGTAGTGTGGTACAGGTGTCTGGGATGACTCGGGTATCAACGTCCGGACGTTCACCGTTCCTCTCATGCCTGCTCTGTCGAGGGTGTTGGTGTTGTATCGCATGCATTGCTCCCCCAACCTTGCTGCTTCAATCCGCTTTTTGTCCTTGAGTTTGGTATGTGCAGGTGGCCATCCTCCTGGCCCCGTACGTTATTCCGAAGTGTAAGGATCGCAGTAGAGGTCGCTGTTTGGCATCGACCGGTCACACGCCGTTTAACGGCAGTTGGGTAAAGGCCCACCTCTAACCCTAACCCTACGTAGCGATACAGCGATACAGCAGTACGGGTCGTACCCCCAACACCCGCCGTTACTGCCACGCCTTCCCCCTTGGCTAAAGCCGTTTCCCACGACCCCTCGCCCCCGAAACAAAACGATGGTCGTTGTCCCGCAGCGTGTTGTTTGGGGGACAAGACCTGAAACTAATTTCAGAGGACGCGCCATATCCCAGCCGTTTCGCTGACCCACCCGCAGCCTACATCGCGGAGGCCGAGAAGGCGGTGCTCGAGGCCAACGTCGACAGTAGCAGCGGCAGTAGCACGATGCTGACGTGCAGTGTCCGAGCGGCCCCCTCGTACGGTGCGGCGGACGAAGAAGGAGAGGCTTCCTCGGAAGACCGCCTAATTCCCGGGTTGGCCTTCCGCGCCAGGGCTGGGGTCCGTCCCGTGGGCGACGGGAACAACGCCGTGGATTTCGTCTACGCCGGCAACGTGGCGCACGCGCTGCTCCTGGCGGCGCAGTCTATGCTGCAGGCGTCTTCGGCAACGGCATCAACACCGCCGCCGCCGGCTGTGGCGGGGCGGGCGTTCCACGTGACGGACATGGAACCGATTCCGTACGGAGAGTTCGCCGCCCGCGCCCTCTCCCGCCTGGGTTACCCAGACGGCGCCGGGGGGTCGGGAGGGATGTCGGTGCTGCTCGCGACCGCTCTGGCGCTCTTGCTCCGGGTGCTGGCGCTTGTCGTGTCGCCCGTCTTCGAGTTCCGGCCGGCGTTGACGGCCCTGCGGGTTGCGGAGGAGAGCGCGGTTCGAAGGCTGGACACTTCGAGAGCGAGGGAGGGCCTCGGGTACACGCCACTGTGGAGTCAAGAGGTGCGTGTTTGTTCGTTTCGCCTGGGGGGGGAAGGGTTCGCGAGGCGTGATATTCGTTGCTCGCCGGTAGCCTGTCGACAACAGCGGGCTGAGGTTCCGTTGTGATTGGTTTGTGGTGGAGCTTCGTTCGGGCGGGCGATCTCCTGGAAGGGCGAGGCGGCGTTGTTGATTACGGCTACCGTTATGTAGGTGACGTGACGCACAGTACCACACCCCTTGGAACGATTTTCAAAGCTCGATTGCTCCACAGTAGAAAGAGCGGCGGTGCCGAGAATGGCGGCGTTGGAACAATCTCGATCGAGAGCTGTGCGGAAACATTACGCGTGAGTTTACATCCTCTTGGTCGTGGAGTGTAAGGGTTTGAAAATCGGTCCAGGGGTGTGACGTCTTGTGCCACCTATGGTATCAATGTGCGGACTGGTTGGTCACTCCATTATCCCATATATTCAGCGCAGGGCAACCGAGATGTTTTACGAGATACGCATATCTACATTGTAGACGGCGAGGGAATAGGAGAGACGTGTGAATTCCGAAGACAACAATAGGTAGCCAGGGCGTTCGCTATACTGTCCTTGTGACCCTAACGTCCTGTGAAACGTGGGTGCGGTGAAAGAGGTGCCTTGCGCTCGGGCCTTCAATGGTAGTAGTGCCACCCACAATCATCCGTCTTCATTGGGGTCGACGATCCCGTCTTGACCGACTTTCACCGTCGAAGACTTGATCATTTTCTTCTCGTTTCCCGTCCCTTGTTGGCAGGAGGGTTTGGACATCACCTTGCACAGAGCAACGGCGCTCAGGAATCCCAGGGCCAAGTTAAAGCACATCGGGCCTTTTACGGCTGAGGAGGTAGCTCGTCACTCCTCTGAAGAGGACGCGTGGATCATTGTCGATGGAAAGGTGCGGCGGATAGTGCATTTTAGGAGTGCCCTGCGAGACCCTACCCAGAATCGGCAGAGTTTGATTTCTAGCCGATGGTTTTGCTGTTTGATGAGCCCACTACTTGAGGATTGGTGTGCAACTCCTCGACGAGGTTCGTCGGCGTTGCCTGTCTGAATCTACCCTTGTTTTGTTTACGGGAAGGCGCAACTGCTTGCTACGGTATCTAACACTCTCGAGCACGAGACGCAGCAAGAACAATGTGACTGACGAAGAAACGCGTCCAGACCGCAATGAAGACCTTGAAACTACGGTGCCGACGATGACAAGACCAAAGAACTAAACCCGAAGAAAACCTACGACGACAGGAAACATACAAAGTATGAAGTAATCGCGAAAGAATCGCACGAAAAAACGCTTGCGATGGGTGTGACCGCGCCGACGTCGTCCTCCATGATATGATGGGGGTGGGCATGCCGCAGTACTTCTACTGCACCAGGTGCGCCTACACCAAGAGGGCGGCCATCAATATCGACGTCCAGGAATTCTCCGAGATCAAGCGCCTCGAGCGCAT